GCGGGGGGGGGGGGGGGGGGGGGGGGGGGGGGGGGGCGGGGAAGACTCAAGAAGGTTCTCCTAAGAATCAAATGTTTTAATACGGCAAAGGATTCATTCACCTGAGAAGGTTGGGCGCCCAAACGATGGCTAGATTTTTGATGTGCATGTTGGTGACATAGCTGAATGTTGCCAGGTGGGACAAATGCCTCATGAGGAACTCAAGGGTTCTGGGAGACAGAAAAATGATGGCATCATGCTTTACATATTAAATTATTCTGCTTTGAAACCCATAAGTAACAAGCTGAAAAAAAAATAAAATCACTGTTAATACACTTTCGTACCAGCAGGGGGAGATGGATCACTACATTTCATATATTACAAACTGACTGTAGCGTCATTTGCCACCTATTGACAGAAATCCAGTTTATATCCATTAAATTAATTTTTGTAAATATGCTCTTTAGATGAGCCATAATGTAAATGGCAATGTACTAAACAATGAGAGTTATACCTTTGGTCCACAACATGGGAAGAACAGAAACTATCCTGTACCAATAGTATACGTTTGCACATTTCCTGCCAGCCTGTAGGTGGCAGCGACGAGCATGCCTGACCTGTAATGTGGAGGCGGCAGCTGTTGGATGACATCATGGATCTTGATGAGCCGCTCCTCATCGGTGGCTGCTGACACGGCCTCCTGCCGAGAGCGAGCGTGGCGGATCAGCACTCAGGAATTCGTCAGTGTTTACCTCTCGCTAACGCCGGGTCAGAGGGGCGAGCCGGTATCTCAGGAGTTACTGTGACATGCCCTTGCTGAGTTAAGAGGACAGGGTGTGGTACATGCACCCCCCCCTTTCTGTACATATCAGTAAACAAACATCAACCCACCCCCCAACCCTCTCATAATGGTCTCACCCCAAATTTAGGGGGGAAACAAACATTTGGTACAGTCTCTCAGCATGTACTGATCCTGGAAAAAAAAAACAGGTGAACGTACAAGGCTACACAGACATGGTATTTTAAGAAATTTGCACGCTGACTCACTAGCGGAAACCAAGTGTGTGAGCGTGATGTATGGTGAATTTCTTCTCCGGGACTAGAGGATGGCCAGCTTGTGGGGGGGGAAATGTCGACGATAGGAGTGGGCAAATATGTGCCTCTTCTGCAAACAAGCTCTTATGGGGATTCACTGCTGTTATATTTGACTTTACATTAAGCAAGATGTTGTGGTAAGCCATGCTACCATCAGGGGAATGTCTTCTCATAGAAGTAGCCATTACCTGCTTCTAAGGGAACAAGTAATGTTTCATGTGTCCTACCCCCTGCCATCCCAGACCCAATCCGCATCCGGGGGCGGGGCTTACCGAGAACTTCTCATAAAGCTGGTAGGTGAGCAGTGGGTTGGGTAGCTCGCGGAAGTAGAGCTTACAGAGGGAGCCCACGCAGTGGATGTCCTGAATATACACGTCCTTGGTCAGGTCAGGGATCTGCTCAGAGTCAAACTCGTGCCTGGGGGGGGGGGGGGGGCAATGTTTCCATTACTCCATTAAACAAGGGCCAAGATGCCAAGATATCGTCTTCATGTACCTGATACTGCACTTTCCCTGCAGCTAACAGCATTCATGCTACTAGATTATATAATTTACTCATTTCATTTAATGTAAAGAAAATGAGTAAACAAACTGACAAAGGGTGTTTTCTGTCACCTAATCCAAAGTCCTAGACAAACCCTGTTGGCATTAGCACGTCGTTTTAAAAACGGTGCACAATAATAAGAGATATTTAACGCCACACATTTTGCAGTCGGTTCATTGTTGGGTTAAAATTAGCCGTGGAATGTTAACCCAAGTGAAATGTCACCTGAAACGTCAGAGGACAAAAAACAAACCCGGTTTGAAATTCCAGACGTTCGTGTTGGGGCTATATGAGCAAGTCTCAGCCTGTCAAGAGATTCCTGCTAGCGGGGAGACCCTCATGGAGTTAATTTACATCCAACGTCCACGAGCCGTGGATGGTCGTGCGAGTAGAGCAAGCCGGTTGACATTCACACAAACTGCGTTGTTGTCCAAGACGCCAGAAGCATAACGTAAACAGGGGCTGCTCGACCTGCATGTTCACTTGAATGTTCTCACCAGCAGTGAGAACATTCAAAAGCTGTCGTCCTTCAGTCTGCCAGATGAGACTGAATCCTAAACCGTTCCCACACGCACCAGCCGTCACCCCAATAGTCTTCAGTGAGCCCCCGCTCTGCTTAGAGCTGTCCCAGGTCCAAGTTGGTCAAATTTCACTGCCTCCAAGCTTGTGAAACTGCTGGCTTTAAACCAAAATAATATCCCAAGGAGTTCACAAGCACGCAGAGTGACCTGTGTACAAGTGTAACTATTTATCATAGCTATTCCTGCAACGTTTTGGGGGGAAAGTTTTTTTAAAGAATGCCAAAACACATTAGGACGAACAACAGAGTTATGTACCCTAAAGCTGTTCAAGTTGTAAACTTTAATCATATATTTAATAGATATTTAATTTAACTTCTCATCATAATTTTTCAAGTTGGCCCAAATACAGGAATTATTTTCATGACGAATTACTTGGACAAATTTCAACCATGAATTTCTATTCCAACTGCTACACTCCTGGGACAGAATTCTGCAGAATCCTTCACGTTCAACAAACGTTTTGGCGTAAAAGGAAAAGCATTGTGAGCTCCTGGATTATGAAGAAGGATTCGAACAAGAATGTTTGTCAAACTGACCAAAACGAGTCATGCAGAAAGATGAGCAATGCGGACAGGGTGATAGACGAACTCTAACAGTTCAAATAAATATACGTTTGACTCACAACAGTCATGGTCGCCTGATGTTTCCAATTATGTGCTTTTTGATTGTTCAATGATTTCAACCATCTCTGTCTTTACTGTGTCATGAATTCATTAGAGGAGCGCATATCATGTAAATATTTGTTCCTCGGTAGTCTTTGTAGAGTCAACATGAACAGTATGTGCACTCTGGTATTCCAGAGCTTTCTTTGTTCAGTTGCTTATTTCATAAGAGGTCACATGAGTGCCACATAAAGCCATGAATGGCGTGCGATTAATAAGCAGGTCTTTCTCTTGGGTCTGCACCGAGGGACATATTTAATGCGAAGGATGATTAGGCTTCATGTGTCACCAACTCCTTTTCAAATCCCCAAAAGTCTGTTTTACAGTCTGTCAATTTTCCATCCATCCTCTTGTGCACTGTCAGGTGGGTCCAGTGAACCTGATTTACAGCCCATTGCAGTAAAGGTTGATTGAGGACAAAAAGTTTGAAATAATTGCCAAACACTGGCTGATGAGAAAGATCTACTGTCATGGAAGGAAGAGGGGATTTCTCTCACCGAAGTTTCTGTATGTTCGAGGCGATTCCGGACAAGCGGTACATGCCGTCCACCACCCCATGCTTCTCGATGAACTCGGTGCAGCTCTTGAGTACCTGGGGAACTGCAGAAAAAGACAAGTTATGTCAGTTGACAAGCTATTAAAGAAGGCTCTCGACTTGTCCTGGAGATCTGCGACATCTAGCTGGGCCTCTTGCTGCAGGGATCTTAATTAAATGGTAACAAACAGGCTGCATGATTCACGCAAGTCAACTCGCATTAAACTAAGTCCTTTAGGGGAGATAGTTCTTAGCTTGTGTTTAACCGAAACATGGTTCAAAAGTACCTTTAAGGCTTGATACTAGTAATAATATGCTAATGATATACAGTTAGCATTCTTGCTTTGTTGGAAGATATTGTGTAGCTCTTGCTCCTAAACTGATTACACTTGTAACCTGGGCATTCACTGGAAGCTCAGCCTAGCTGTACCTGGGCATTCACTGGAAGCTCAGCCTAGCTGTACCTGGGCATTCACTGGAAGCTCAGCCTTGTCGACTAATTCCTAGTCGACTCCTTGACAGCCATATGTTTGTAATGTGTTATTTGCCTCAGTTGTACACTGCTTTGGACAAGTGTCTGCTAACTAAAAAGAAGTGTAAAAGAATGGAAACACATCAATTAAATTACATTCCGTGGTTGCTCTGTATGGTTGCTTTGTGGCCAAGGCCATTGTCCAGGACCAATTATACCCCATGATGGAAATGATTCCCCCGATTTTCCTGTTTTTCAAGATGCTAAATCCCTTTAAACAAATGCTAAATGCTAAACAAATGCTAAACAAATTCAAGGTTTCATGACATCACGAGGAAGTCAAATGCCTTCCATGGCCTCTCCAATCACCATATCTCATCATAACTGAAAACTTCTGGAGCACAGAGTAGATTTCCATCGCCTCAAAGAACTGAACTTTTTCTTTTTTCTTGAAGAATGGTCCGATGTCCCACTATAGATGATTCAGGACTTGTATGACAGCATTCCAAGGAAGACTGAAGAGCACTACAGGCAAAAGTTGGCCCTGAAAATATTATTAGGTGTTCGTTATGTTGTCCATCTCCTGCATGTTTTTTTATCTGAATATTGGTTCAGAGCATAACTGTTTAAATAAAATCATGAATTAATTTTAAGGACTTAAAACAAATCACGACTTGTCATGATTCAATCACTTAAGAACTTGCACTAATTCAGTCGCACAGAACAGAAAAATTCTACCGATCGCCCAGTGTGTGTTTGGCCATAATGTGATTTGAATCCTGTAATTAACACCTGTGCTTAATTAGGAGCTAAAATGAAAGTACCAGTAAGAACCAGGTACCACCAGGCATCATCAAAAGGTATAGCGACTTACAGGCAAGACACCCTCCCAGTTCCACTGTGCTTAATTTGGATCGAGAGTCCTTCCCTCATGATTTATGACATACAAGATTAATGACATACAAGACGATTAATCTTGTATCTAAACATGATCAGATAAGTTGGCTGCCAGAAGATGTGATCTGACACACACATGCATGATCTGACTGAACTTGAACGGTACCTTGCAGAAGTGTTCAGTGCCCAATAAAAGTCTCCCGTAATTGGTTGCTAGGCAGCACCAGCTGAGAACGCCGCTAGCTGGACATTTATTGATGCTGTTCGTCACGGCAGCTTTTTGAACACGGCTTATTACCATGACACTGGGCTCATAAAATGCAACCCGGGCCTGCGTCTGCACCGGTAACCCAAAGGCGCAAACCCACAGACAACAAAAATAGGAAGAGCTGCATGGATATAGCAGTTTCACTACATTCCTGCCAAAGGATGGGGGGGG